AGCACATCGTGTTTTCAACGTAGAGCCCGGTTAATTGTAGATTTACTACTGCTAAACATGACATTTGAAACCCCAGGCCGCGTGTCCTGTTCCAACTTCAATACAGGGCTGCAGTGAGTGAGTGAGTTAATATTTAACGTCGCATCGGCACCGTGACGAGATAGGGCTACAGATAACCTTGCTCTGCATTGGAAGCTCTGTACATTTATCTCCTAAATAAAACAAACATGTTTATATAACGTATGCATTACCTCCAGGATCTAAGACCCTGAATGTCATACGGGGCGGTCGGGTAGCCTAGTGGTTAAAGCGTTCGCTCGTCACGCCGAAGACCCGGGTTCGATTCCCGATATCCACGGTATACGTCTTGATAGTCACCTTGGGAACCACTGTATTGTTTGAAGGTATTTGTATAATGGACCGCAGACTTAAATGTATAGAAATATATAATTTTAAGATTCAGTTGCTATATAAACTAATATTAAACAATCAGTCATTACAAAAATGCATGTGTGATGCCTCGCAACCGCCTTTGTATGGCGTTTTTGGTAACTTTTACGTACCTGTCCACGTCGTTCGATGTACCTGTGTTTACCCGTTTATTGGTGTAGACTTGTGTTGATTTTATCTTCTTTGTTCGATTAATTGTTTCCACTTGATAATTATCTTCTTGTAGAGCGTGTATCCCAATGCGGTCAAAGGGGTGTAACTCTATCTTTTGCATTTTACAAGGATACCGATGTAGTGGCGGGAGTTAAACGCCTTCAAGGAGAGGACAGGTGTACATGTGACACTATGTCCATAGCGCTGTATACTAGTGTGTGAACTATATTTAGTTGGAGCTCATGTTGGGATCCCTTGATAAGGAATAGCAGACCAATTTGTAAACTTGGAACTGCAAAATCCGGATATACACAAAGGAGAAATTGAGTTTTAGTTTTCTTTTCACTCAGCTGTATATAGTCACACGCTCAGTCTCGCTCGCTCACTCGCTCACACACTCACTCACGCACGCACGCACTCAATGCATGAATGTCTTCCAGTCAGTAAGTTCCAAGTATATAGGTCTTCGACTTTAATACCGACTGATGCATCAAGGACAGGGTGTTTTTTGTCTTCTTCAAACAAATCCCCTCCCCCGAATATCAAACGATAGGTCCAAGAGTTGACAATGAAATGTTATTGTGGTTTTACTAAGGATAAAGAGCCTCAAAGTAAAGCTTACTTTGAATCCAACGCAACAATGACACACACAAATTAAACTCTAATTAATAACCATGACAAGTACGATCAATCAATTTACGATGTTTCAATTTTTTCTTGATAATGATAAAGAACTGGTGGGCAACAGAGAGTATACCGAGGTTGTTTTTTATGTAATTGAGAATTGAAAGATCTGTTGTTAAATTTGATTACATCTATTTATTCATCACTCATTGCTGCAGCAGGTTGTAAAAAATATTCTGTGGATGGGTAATTTTGTGTAAAAAATACAATTGGTTCAATGAAGACTGGGGTAACACATGAACATGCAAAGGATGCGCAGAAAAGGTTTTTTAAATTTTTCAATCAAATTATTTTTTTTTTAAATAGAACCATGTAGATGTATACTTTGGGTGCTGACTAAGTGCCACCACAGTTCATTTTTGGACATGATATCGCTCACTTGAGACACATAATATAATTAATTGAGAGATATAGTTTGTTTTTGCTCCTCGGTTTAATTTGTAAGATAAGTACAGTTATCATTTAAAACGACGTGATATCCGTATCATGACATGCTTCCTGCATAATTCTTACTTCCCCATGTACAACTCATGCTGATAGGCGAGGCTGGCCTTTTTATTGCGCAAGTGGTATAAGGGAGGTAACTCTTTCCTCTGCAGAATTGCCGTTGTCTGGTCTGCTTTTCTTTCATGGAAAGGGTACCCGCTGTTAATAAATGATATCGTTTTTACTTGCGGTTTTGAATAAATACATGGTTCTTGAATCAGATAGGTGAATCATTATACATACGTATCTTCACGAATTTCATTGTTCTTGTTTAAAACCAGTTGATGTTTTGGGCACAAATAGACCTTTTATACGGCCCAAGTCACACAATACATTTAACAGTAACCAACCAACGAATTAGTGTTGTATATTACTGGTAGAGGAGATTTGTTGGAAGGTAGTGGTTAATTATATTAACGTTAACATGGCTGTATATGCTAAAATGCACAGTTTCATTTAGAAGATAAATACTATATGTGTGTCTTTTTCCGGGATTTTATCGAGTATTTGCATCTTGGAAATTCATCTCGAGACCCGAAACCGTTAGCTTGTGGGGCTCGAATGAAAAGTTCTATCGTTGCCATGGTGCACGTGGCTGCTACCACTTGACAAGAGGGGGAAACTTGTGTGACTTCATCCATTAGGAAGAAATTTATTTTCATTAATGCTTTGTTTGATTATTACTTCCATATTTTAATTCTATTTTTATTATTTCTCAAAAATCCATGAAAACTAGGTTTATCAAAAAAATAAATGAAAATCCTATTTCTTTTGAGAATTTGAAACGATCCGAAAAGGTTGAGCTGTTCTATTTGCAGGAAGGGTGAATTGACCTATGTTTTTATTCAATAACATTGGCTTGTTTGGCTTATCAAATCAGAAATAAAAACAAAGTTTTCACATTTAAATTCAATTTAATTCAGTTTAATTACAATTTGCAAGCTGCATTCACTTTCATATAAGTAACAATTAAGTATTTCACTTATGTTGCCTTCAAAGCTTACACCCCTTTTCGCAGTTTAGACTCTTCCGAGTTGCCGAGACGCGACCATGCTGCCAAACCTTACAAGAGAGTCGTGACTTTCTATAGGTTTACAATTCGGCATACATCTATTTGCTCTTTGTTGAATCGTAATGACATGCGGGATGACATACGGTTGTTGGCTGAAGGAATGCGTGGCTGTTGTTCTACGCAAGAGTCAGTAAGTTTCCGTTCGGACTCAAGCAATCAAGTCCATAGTGTCAGGGTTGGATCACACACAAACAAAATGTGACCTTGCAATATCCGATTCTCATCCGGTTCTTCTGTGACATAGCTGTTACGTAATACAAAAGCAAGTGCTTACACTTTGCAACTGTTACAAAACAGTTACTTGATCTTTGGTTTGTTTCCTGTTTGACCCCGTGTGAAAATTGTCGTTGATGAGTTGGTTCGATATTGTTGTGTTTGCGAGTAGCATTAGTTTTTTTGTATGTGTTTATGACGGGTGACACCGGTGGGGCGGGGTACGCCCACCTTTCGCGAACACCTGGTGTCATCACTATTTGAAAGTGATTCTCAAACACTAGTCATGATAAGTCGGACTCGTGCTATCGACTCTGCTATTAGTAGAGTTTTTTATTAAATATGGAAAGGGTTTTGTCGCTTTTATTTGGGTTGGATTATTATAATAACCATCAAACTATTCTACACTTACAATGTGTTATTTCCACGACTGGGATGTCTATAAGTGTTCAAGACAAATATGTACGGTAACACGTTTGCTTACGTTTTAACTACCCCAAGCTACGCACCTGTTTTTGCTACATGCATATTGCGAGTTCCTCTACTATAACTGAGCATAGCATATGATGATTTTGTATATACTTGAACTTCAAACTGATTTATCCTCTTGTAAACGCAATATATACCTCATATATGACCTCACAATAACCGCGAAGCCATGAATATACATGTATTCGCAAATCAATGTCTTACATATTAATCAAGCCAACAATATCAGGTGTGAAGCTTCTGTTGTTTATATTCTATAACGCACGGCGGCCTGTAAACAATTAAGTCTGGGTCAGACAAACCAGTGATTCATATTCTAAGTAACGTGTCACGCTGCCAGTGCACAATGGCACAAAACCAACCAAGTCCCCAAGTTACGTCAATATTGTTTAATGCCCTTTTCTAATACGGAATCCCAAAGGAAGCTTACGTGTTGAAGTATTTGTAATTGTAAGTTACGATGAACTGTATTCATCTTAGTTCTGTATGGCAGTGCTTTAGTATTCATTGAAAAGTATAAACATGTACTGTATTTAAGTAATGTATTATTTCACTTCAAACATATTTTCTCAGTAATTGAAACATTGTCGTTTATCCGGCCACGTTAAACACGGTTAAACGAGATCTAAGTATCACGTTTCACTGCATGGTCGTCGGAGAAGAATACGCTGTAGTCAGCAATTTTACTGTTTAGAAAATATGACAGGTGAGGAAACATTGTGTATCACAGTGGAGTGTCAGGTTCCTCAGGTAGTGTAAGAGCGGGAACTTGTTTTTTGGTATATTAATAATGAATTTGTGCACGACAAATACTTCAATTATAATCCTTATTCAACACAAGGCTATGACTGATAAGCGCGTGACACCCGGATCGATGACATAACAATAGCTCAGGTACGTAACCTATTTCCTGGTACTTGAACACATCACGTTACCTGGAAAGGTCGACCGTTCAGTCTTAACACAAGAGGACATGGGGAATATCGATATACTAGTGTTATATTACATACATATGTTACTCGGATAACTAACAGCATTCACAAGCAAGGTGGATGTAAGGTAAGCAATATGGCCGCTCACACATTACGCAAACAGATAGGGTAAAACTATATAAGGGATTTGCGTTCTAGATTGTCTAGATGGACTATATAGTATATTCAAATACAATTTAATTGGTCATAAGACTTTTAGGTTTAGGATTCAGGGAACTAATGTCGCCAGTCGAGTTTAACAGCCCGGAAATGGTTACGAAACTCCGGACTGCAACATTTCTGAATTAAAGTATTTTTATGCCCCAAAGCTTAAGGAATTAAGTTTTATATCCGATATCGAACCTTTGAACTGGTCCCCGATGTCTTCTCGGACTGAAGTGAAGTAACGCGAGAAGTGCACACTGAGAGATAGGACTTCTTTGTAATCAGCGCGACCTCTACACGTTTGTACATGTTATGGGGTTTGGCTAAACTACACAGTTATAAATACATGACTGATTGCGTAACATGGTTTCCAAGAAGTAGATCTCTTTAGCTGGAACGACACTCGGATAGGAGTGAGCCATAACACTGGAGAATATACACCGAGTGGTTGTCCGATTAGAAATGGACATCTTACTGGACAGGACACAAACCTGACAGACAGACGGGTGGAAAGAAGGTAGTATAACCGGGGTGTCGCCCTACAATTGTGGCTGAATGTGGGTCATCGTGCCCGGACATCTTGCATCGTTGCTCATTTGTTTTCTTAATCTGTCAGTTACCAAATAGAGTAAAGCATGACAAATGAGATCTGGATAGAAGGCATAATCTAATGCCCAAATGTGTTTGTTGTTAGCATGGTATATTAACATCAATACACTCAATGACCGAGCACTATATGAATATCTTACCAAGTTTTAATAGAACTGAGCAAATTACGGATATAGACATGCTGTGGTTATATTTGTATTGTTTGTTCCCCGTAGATGTGAGGTTTAATGAGGGTTTTTTTTGATAAAATCTACTGTCGGTCTTGCTATACACCGAAAACACAGTCGAGTTATCTACAAACAACGTTGATAAACGTAACCTGGGCCGACTTCACAATAGATTGTTGCGTTGTGTAATTAGGTCAGATTTTCTTGGGAACATTTCCTGGAAATGTTAAGACTATAAGGAACAATCGAGATATGTCGATGTGATAAACCCGCAACTACATTTACTAAAAAAAGTAATTAAAATAGGCAAATGCGGAAAAGATCGTTTTAATTCATGTTTGATACAAATCATGCAAATTAGACCGTACGTAGACGATAGGCCGAATTCAAAAGGCGATAGTAGATTTTGATAAGAGACTATTCCGTTTGTGAATTCCAGTTTGTTTTTTGGTATGATGTAAAATGTAAAATGTAAATCGAGTCGTCGCTATATGCTTTGAAAACCTCATGGGCGAGAACGGTGACAATATAAAATTTAAGAAATATCGGTTACATATGTTTTATATCTGTATCTGGAATCACACGATGTCTCGATCCTGAAATTTTAAACATAATGATTAACAAGATCATTGGATGGCATTTAGAAGGTAACTCTAAATTACGAGCCGTGGACAGCAAAAACTAGCTACAACAGTAACGACACTAACAATCATTATAACTGAATTACAATGTATACTACCACATAACATTAGATAATTTGAACTTCTTTTGGACAATAACCTCAAATTTTCAGTTGCTTCATAACGATGTTATAAAGTAAACGGAAACGTTGCTACAATAGTAATCAAGAAATGGATCGTCCACCCTACCATGTCATTAGTTTACATTAATAACTGATCGAGGTCATATTTCAGGAATATGGATTCCAAGGAATGGCGCAGGATAATGAAGAATTGGGTCTATCTTAAAAGTGAGCTTCAGTTGGAAGATGGCGGTGACATTCTTAACGGCCTGTTCCAAAATGGCACACTGAACGACAGCGAGTATAAACTAATCAAAAGTATTTCTCCTGAACCTGAAAAGGTGGAAAGACTACTGTTCGCGCTGAAACGAAAACCACAAAATCTGAACGCGTATAAACGTTTCTGTGACATTGTAAGAGAAATCCAGCCACACATAGAGGAGAAACTTGCAGCTACGCCCGATGAAGATGCCTGTTTAGAAGGTAAGTCCTTTGGAGATAAACTTCAGCTAGGTGATGAACACATGAGCATCTATAAAGTGAATGACTGGGTTTGATGTAACGTCGCTTTATACATTAATTCAGTATTTTCAGTTATACCACATTTGAGCTCAATGTGGAAAGTCGTGTGTGTACTAGTCCATGTTTTATCCCATGAATGCCGAGCGAGCGTTAGGCAGGTAGACAACCCCCGACCTTCCGCTCTCTGGGCAGACGCTCTATGACTTAGCCGCGGAGGTGTAATGAACAGAGCGAACAGGGATTCGAAACAACGATCATAGGTTTCTGACACGCCTCAGGGACGACATTCTGCAGAACCGTTTAGGCTCGACGATAGGTTGACATTTAATGCAATACGTCTTTAGGGCCGACGATACAGGGCTGTTAAAGTCCAATATTTCATACCAGCAGACAAACCTAAGGCACCCCTCTCAACTATAACAACGGCGAACCTGAGGCACTCGAAATGACAGTGCATAAGTACGAAAAGGTAACTATACAGCACAGGGTGTTGTGCTACCTGCTCATGTTTGAACGGGTTGTGTTGTGTTGTCATGGTGCGCGTGATCACTATTGTATGTATGCGTGCAGCTGCTGTCTAGTGTTAAGAGAGCAGTGCGTAGCCAAATGCTACAAAGGATAGCCTGAAACATGAACACACACGAGCGTGACATATTAACTTACGGCCGCTGGCAGATTATAGGGTAACGTCCCTACAATAACCAACTATAGGTCATATCTAACACAGGTGTCACAAATAGATAACACGCACCTGCACCTGCACACACACACACACACATGCACACACACGCACACACGCACGCACGCACGCACGCACGCACGCACACACACACACATATCTATATACATACTTTGGCATGTGTTAATTTATCGATTCTCAGTGTTCATTGGTCAGTTGAAGCGGTATATGACAGCACATTGCTGTATTGTTACTTGCACAGGTTTGAACTTGTAAAATGGGTCACGTTGTGATTTTAATCAAATTAAAAGAATGAGTTTAGTTTAATCCCGGTTATATACTCTCCCACAATAGAAACGCACAGGTGAATTTTCACATATTTTTATATGTTGTGTTCAAGGTAAATAAAAGCGATATCCATATTCATAGGACATCTCTGCCCCACCGGTGGCACCCGTTATATAGACATGCACTGGTAATTACATTGTTCACCTGAAACCACTTTAATACAATATCATTTGCAGCCATAGTACATATACAACAAGAAAGTCGGAATACAAGTTTAGTCAGTATTGATGTCATTTGACAAGTGGGCGTGTGTTCTCAGTAACTATACTGAGTCAAATTAAAAACTTCACATTTTTAAAAGTAATCCCATATATGATATAAAAAGGACACATGAATCAGAGAAGTTAATATTTAATCATTAATGTCCAAAGAAGGATTTTGATTAACGGTGGTAACCATAGTTTGTTCCAAGCACCCACGGTTTTCGGTAATAACATCAACAGTATAAATCATAAGTCCCAAGCACGAGAATCTGATGGCACACAAGCAGCCATTGTTGCTGCAAAATGGTGCCAATTGCAAGATCTTGCAAACTCTGTGGTTGGTTCTGGAGAGTGCGCAGACTTCTGCCAAGAGCATCCCATACGTGTTCGATGGGATTGAAGTCGGGAGACCTTGACGGCCAGTCCATGACGTTGACTCCCGCATTCTGAAGGAAATTCCTTGTCAAAATTGCTGTGTGGGGTCTGGCATTGTCGTGTTGGAAGATCAAACCGGGTCCATGTGCTGCCATAAAAGGCAGAAGTTCTGGTGCCAGTACCTGGTCGCGGTAAGCAGCAGCGTTGAGGTTGCCACGGATGACAAGAAGCCTGGAACATGCATTGCCACAGAAAGCACCCCACACCATGACATTTCCGCCTCGAAATCTGTCAACTTCCTGTTCACAACACTGGGCGTAACGTTCATTACGGCGCCTCCACACCCTTGCCCTACCATCAGCAAATCGAAGATTAAATCGGAATTCATTCACTGAATAAGACCTGATTCCAATTCCTCTGAGTCCATCGTAAGTGTCGCTGTGCCCACAATTGACGTTGACGTCTGTGTAATTGAGTCAGAATCGTCCCGCAGTATGGCCGTCGTGCTTGAAGGTGAGCAGTTCTCTGACGGTTTCGAACAGTTTGCGCACTCAGTCTACCCCTAAACAGTTCATTTCTGGTTGATGTAGCCGTCAAAAATCGGTTACGGAGGTGACGTAAGACAATCTGACGATACTCTGCATGTGACGTCACACGTGGTCGACCTGGCCGAGGGCGATCAGCGGTGGTACCTGTTTGCTGTAGACGCGTCTGTAAATCATAAACAGTCCGTCGACTACAACCCATCGTCCTTGCAACTTCAGCTACGGATGTTCCCGTCTGCAACATGCCGATAGCACGTTTACGTTGCACATTTGAAAGGCGTGGCATGACAAATGGCCGTAAAGACTTTTGTTTTCTTGTGTTTTTCTTTTTTTTGTTAATGACTGCTAACAAGAATGGCTGAAAACACGTTCGGTATTATGGCCACGTGACCAGTTGCACGTGAAAAAACACTTTTGCCACTATAGTGTTGTGCACATGATTTTGATCGATTCACCTGCACAAAAACGGGTGTTATCTGAAGACAATACGTGGCCATTACTGTTTAAATACACAATAAGGGACCACAATAATAACTGGTCAAAATGTTAAAATTTTAGGATTGTGAAGTTTTTAATTTGGTTCAGTATATTTCAACCAACATGTGCCTCCAAAACTGCTCTTCATTGAAGAAATCGTTGCTTCCAAGCTTGTGGAGACATAGCCAAATTGTCCAGCAATATGTGTAGCAGTTGCTGAAGCATCCAGGGAGGCGGTTGTCGTATGCGTACCTGTCTATCGATGACCAACAAATGTTCTATGGGGTCAGGATCTGGTTTCTAGAATGGCCGTGGGTTTGCGGGGCCGATCTTGCGTGGAAATGTGTTGCTGATATCAATCCCAAACACGAGAAATGGTGCTAGGTGAACATGGAGATGAAGTGCAACAGCAAATTCACACTCCCCAGCCTCAAGGCATCCCATGGCAACGTTGCGAGTCGTGGCATGACGTTTTTGATCCAAGCAACAAATATAGGTTAATAAACGTTTGAATGTAATGCGGTTTCAAATGGACAGTATCGCTGCTCACGATTCCCCTAACTTGCACCTGGATATTGCAAAGAATTCCTTCCTCGTGACCTGTTCATGTAAATTCACACTTCACGTAGAATACATACAAATTCAAAATGGTCCCATGAACATAAACGAACATTCTGTTGGAAAAAAATGTTACAATCAAACACCATTTCTGAAACATGTCAGCTTGATGAGGACAGCAAGAAATAAAGTAGGTCTTTGACGTTTACAACTATTACATGGTCATAGGTGATCAACCACAAGCATAATATGTCGTCAGAGAAACTCTGGTTGATAGAGTCATCAACCGAGAAGGTTCTCCGTGTCCTCTGTCAGTGTGCAAACCAGAAATGTCAGTCTGTCGCCGACTGTTACATATTGTGCAGAATGACGTCCCTTAGGCGTGCTAGAAACCTATGCCCGTTGGTTCGAATCCCGGTTCTCCTTGATTGTGATTCTAGGTTTGTTAGCACCATACCCTTGTAGGTGTGCACATAAAACCGAAATAATTTTCAAAGCGGCGGTAAACCAAACTAACTCACTCACTATCACGTAAGCCATATACCACAATGAACTGTTAAAACAGGGAGCAATTCTGTTGTTATTTAACTTGCCACAATCTTTTATTTCTTCGTCATAGCTGATCAACCACAAACAGAAGATGTCGTCAGAGGTGCCCTGCTTGATAGATTTATCAACAGAAAAGGCTCGACGTGTCCCCTGCCAGATGTTAAAGCGGTCATCAAGGAATGTGTGACTTCGGCAGGGGTGAACTATGACTGGGGTGACAAACAGCTCAGGGATCTCATCACACAAGTGTTCACTGACGCAACTTGGCAACAGCGTTCAAAAAGGGAAATGTATCCTTTGAATTGTAAAGTAATTTTACAAGCTGTTTCAAAAATATTTTGTTGATTTTCCAAATAGATCAGAAATAGATGTTCATCTCAGCTCTACATTATGTTTTTTCATTATGTCTTTCGTTATCTTTCCTTAACCCTGACAAGACCCTATTTGAGAAATTTACAAATAAGACCTTCACAGACACCTACAAGTACGTAAATATTCAAATAAAAACTTCAAAACACGTGAGAGACAATACATGTACCCTACTGTCACTGATTGATATTTGACGTCTTGAATTGACATTTCTTACAGTGAAAGAAACACATTAACAAGTAAACTGTGTAAACTAGAAGTAAGTTATAAGATGTGGCTCCGTCCATCTAATTGCCACCTGATGAGAGTCTACTCTGTGTGTGATTATGTGCATGTGTGTGTGTAATCATAAATCCCTCTTTCGCCATTAATAATAAATAATTAACTGTATTGAAAGCATTCTTACAAACAAATCTTCGATATTTTAGAACCAGGCCTCTTATCAACACCGACCAAAGAAAATGTCAAACTGATGCAAGTTGATGGTCTATGTGATTTCCTCAACAATCATCCTACAATTGGCAAGAAGGAAGACGTCATAGCAAAATGCAAAGACGAGTGCATCACCGGAGAAGTGTTCCTCTCACTAAAGGAGACAGACATAAATGAACTTTTCCCTTCCTTGAAATTTGGACATAAGCGGGCCTTGTTATTACTCATTTCAAACATTGAATCGCAACCTCATGATACGGAAAACACGAACACTGAACAAAGTGTCATTGAGTCACCAGATAGCACTTGCAAGCCGAGAGAATGCCCATACCAAGAGACATTAAGGAAGTTTGAACATCCAGTAGAACCATGGGTCAAATATGTGAAAGGAAGAGTTGTGAACACCGAATTCTGCAGTGGTAACATGGTGCAGCCGGTCAAATATTTTGCTAACATTCAAAAGCCTACAGTCATGATTCAGCAAATGGCAGATGAGACAGTTGCATTTGCTGCAGCATGTATGAATGACAGGATAAATGGCACAATTTACTTTGGTATATGCCCAGAGGGCTCTCTGGAAGTACTGCCCGGAGAAGTTGTTGGATACACTCTTGACACAGAAAAATGTCGGAGTGAAATCATGAGCAAAATAAAATTTGCCTTCGAAGAAAAGCATCATGAGATTGTGTCTAAAGTAATACGAGATCCAACATTTGTAGAGGTCATTGACAGGAATAACAGTGACGACCCCCGCTATGTTGTAGAAATAGATGTTGTTCCAACAAGTCATGTTGTAAAACATGAAGTGTTTCTAATCAGTTCAAAATTCCCCATTGGCAAGAAGAATAAACAGAGACTGTTTCGATATACAGAGGGCGCAATAAAAAGGCATGATGGAAGAGATCTTGTACACTTCACATCTAAAACTGTAATGGATTTAACAACTCTACGTCAAACCCAAGAAGCGAAGACACAGGCGCCTGGACCTGCCAAAAACCTGAGAAGAAAGTTTCTCAATTTGTTTACTGGTGGCGCAGAAACACTTGAAGATGACGTTTATCCTGTGTTGTTTTTTAGTCCTCTTGGTGACCAAATGGAAGCAAATTTCATAGAAGAAAATCTATCATTTGTTAAAGATATAGATGCAACAGCAATCTTTGACTTTGATCCCGAAAGTGACACTAAAGGCCTTTATCATTATGTGATGAACAAAGAGAGAGTCATGCAGGTCTTAACAACAGACAACTTTGATAAGAACGGAGGAGAAAATCTTGAGAAAGAAAAGCATGCTGCATTTTTAGAGAATCTTCAAACATCTTCCTTGAACACATGGACATTTTGTAATGGCTATGAATGTCTGGGAAAGCATGCCTTTGGCCCCTTTGAGTGGAAACAAAAGCGCATTGAAGGATTTCGGGGGGCCATACAATTTTATCATAATAGCATACCCCAAGGAAGAGCACTGGTGTTAGTATTTCTTTTCTCATCGAATTATGAAGTTATGTTGGAGGCAGCAGATGAGATATTTACTAAATTCCAAGAACAGTGGATAATACTGGCTGAAAATGACGCTATTGCTGATCTTTGGAAAGAACAGATGATTGCTCGTCACTGTGCTGATACAGGATCACTCAATGAGAGATGTGTTGTTGGCATTCCTTGGAATCATCTTAACGATACCATTTGTCAAGTCACAAATTTGAGACAACCATCTGCATGCCTTTTACCAACATCAAAGGGTATGCATTGCTCTCTGCGGCAAAGAGTGAAGGAGGATATGTGCGATTTGGACATTCTCAGCATACAACAGTGTAGCGACAGTGAAATTGTGAATGATACCAAGAAGAAAGAAGCTAAAAGACGTGAGGTAGAGGAGATTTTTTTCAGGGGAGGTGAAGTAGACTGGTGGAATTTTTGGTTTCCTGGAGATCACGTTCTTAAGAGAGCTTGTCATGAAAGTCTGATGAATCAAATAACAGACGCCCTTACTACTACTAAAGAAACTGACAATAAAGTAACAGTGGTGACATTGTTACACCAGCCAGGGGCAGGAGGTACCACATCAGCTCGCCAGATCCTGTGGGATCTGAAGGACAAGTACAGATGCTGTGAAGTTAAGCAAATAAATGACCAGACACCTGAACAAATAGCTACTCTGAGATGCTATGAGGATCCTGATAGTCCCAATCCCCCACTGGTTTTGATTGACAACCATGATGATGAAAAAATGAGCCTTCTCTATGCTGTCCTGGAGGATAAAGCTCGTATCGCAGCAAGATCATCGGATGGCATTCTATCCGTTTTCTGTGTCCTTCTTGTTTGCCAGCGAAGAGCTGACTTGCCAATCCAGTGTGACAGCCGGAAAGTACTACTCAAGCATGAACTGACCACAAAGGAGCTTGCCTGGTTTGAAATGAAAAATGCTGATCTAGAAAAGAGGTTCAAAGATGACAAAAAAGTCGATCCCAAACTCTTGATATCCTTTAACATCCTGAAGGAAAACTTCAACAGTGAATATATTCACAGAACAGTTGGTACACTCGTCAATAACATCAAAGATGAAAAAGAGCAAAGGGTCCTAAAATACCTTGCTCTCATAAATGCATATGATGTTGACTTCAGTCCGGTTCCCGTGGCCTGCTTTGATCCACTCATGCAAACACCACAGAGGTGCGGCATGATCATCAGTACAGGAAATCAACGCACCTATTCAAGAAAAAAAGGTTGGGAGACATGCTTAAGTTCACCATTGAGGGTGCTCTTAAACAAATCATCACGATCAGCTGGTCAAGGGACAAAAGAACAGACATTGCGCATCATACATAGCCTCCTTGCTAAAGCAATTCTTTTAAAACTTATGGAAAAGCAAGGAGAAACTATTGTTGACATAATGAACCAGCTACTCGATTCTAATGTGTTTCTCGTTGATTCTGCATATACTGAACGTTTACTGTACATTATCAGAAACATCATCAAGAAAAGATCTCGCTCAAAAGATGATAGAAAAGAAAGGTTTTCACCATTTGTTTTGGCAGCCATTGACGATGTTGATATTGATGGAACTGTAAACCTCATGATCAAGGTATTTGAGATGTCTGATGATGCACTCATTGCTCAACAGATTGCTAGATTTTACATCCATTGCAAAAACTGGACACAAGCTGAACGCTTTGCTAAGATTGCTACAAACAAGTGGTACCGAAATTCCTTCCTCTGGGATACTTTAGCAATGGTTTACAAGGAGCAGCTGTTTGATGAATATGTTCAACACTCAGAAACAGATACCAACAAAATCAATGGGGATGATGCTAAACGTATAATTGGCATTGCCTTCAAAGCTATAGAGACGTTCAGAAAAGAGCAACAGCTCAGTGAAAATGAAACTACTGCTATCAACAATGCAGGATACTGTGGAGAGATCAGGGTTATCATACTGTTGCTGAGTACTTTCCCTAAGTTTCAGTGTTACACAGGGAAGGAGGATATGCATAAATTCTTGGTCAATGCAAAGTTTGTTCCCGACACGTTTCAGTTTGTTGGTGAAGCAGATATTGAGCATTTGAAACAGATGCAAGATGATGCGACAAGAGCTCTTCGAAGACTTGATGAGGAATTTCACCAGCTTAAAAGTGTGACATCTGCCGACATTATTCCAAAGGACTCACACCTAAACAATGAGCTCCTTATCAGCTTCAAAGAAAATATTGATGGTTTCTTTGGAGAAGGAACTGATAGAGTTCCCCATGGCATGAATAATGAAGATGCCATGGCGTTTCGCAGAAGGCGCGCCAGGAGGCTAGGGGTTGCATCACTGCCCAGTGCTCTCCGGATCATGGCAACAGGTGGAGGGAAGCTTTGCAGCGCTTACAAGTTAATGGTTGAAAATGTGAAATCACCTCAAGCTAATGCTTTTGATTTTGTGACCATTTTGAACACATGTATTGCATACAATGGAGTGGAAGATAAGGAACAAACAATTGCAAGCTTCCAACAAATGATAGAATGGAGCAAAAGTCTTTATGAATGTAAAATTCAACAGGGAACACGGCCTCACCTTGAGACTTTTCTGTATCTTGTTCTTTTTCATTTGCCAACGGAGGATCGTCACATGTATAACCTGTGCTCATCTTCAAGACTTTTGGAAGCAATCAGCCAATGGAAAGAAGCATTTTACAAGAATCACCCAAGACAAAAAGATGGAAACCGCCATTTCAGGAAAAAAGATGCAACCTATTTCTTCCTTGGAAAAGGCCAAGACATGGAGAGTATAGTTTACTATGAGCAACTAAATGGCAGAAATGAAGGAAAAGGAGACATAGGAGATGGAGTCTGGCGCACAGCAACAGCTTTGAATAGACTGAAGCGAATGAAAGGTGTTCTCCTAAATGAGGGACTGGAAATTAACATGCAACTGAAATCGGTAGGAGGGAATATGTTCAATGTAGCGATCCCCACATCACTACCTATTCGAAAACGGTCGTTATGGCAAAAGAATGTATACTTTGTCTTGGGGTTTGGCTGGTCTGGTCCAAAGGCATATGATGTTACTGATGAGGAAATCAAGGAATGTCCAAATACTCAGCCTTCAGCCAGTGGAAGCAGAGATTGGGGTCCAACCACACGTGTTCCTCAACTGGCTCCAAAGAGCCTTGAAATCATCATGATGAGTATAACAGAGAAAGAGGCAAAACTTGATAAGTTGACGAAGCAGGGTGCAAGAAGAAACAAAGGGGTGATTATCACACTTGAATCTAGTAAATATGTGTGGCTACTCACTCTTTTACAGCCGAATCTAAAGCACATTTATCAAAGTCTCCTTTCTTTAACATTGATACAATGATATAAGAACTAATGTCTACATACTAACTTAAAAGCCTTTCCTTTAAAACCGTTTACTTTAGAGCTATTGTGAATGAAATGAAATTGGGTATGCTGAACAGTAAAAGAAACGCAACTTCTAAAAACGTTTGAATGATTATAAGTTTAACCATTCAAGTTTGTCTGAATTGATGACTGATGTCATGTAACTCTGCAGCTGCTGTAACCAGAGAGTTAGGATGCCATGTCACCACTGTCACAAGACAACTGTTTAGTCAACTGTCGACGTCAGTATGTGGTATTAATCTTGACAAAAATAACACCGTCAGCGACATTCACAGTGGGCCCCGGCAACATCATCGTTGGCGAAGTGCTCAGTGGTATCAAGTTGTCTTTTCAGACGAGTTTCACAGACAAGTCATTCAGGCTAACAAATGGTACCGTGGAAGTGTGATGGTTCCGGGAGCTAAAATCACAACCATAGTTCCCAGGTTCATGTCTTCCGACAACCATCTTCCCGAGGCAAGGGAGTTAACTGACTGTAAAAGTACAGTTTCCTCCCTTCACGAACTTGGCTGGAATTTCTGTGCTAAATCGTAGCGGCACCATTGGCTATTACGAGTTATGTCCCTTCTATGTCATCCTGTTGATCAATCAGATCCCCCCTCTAATATAACTAAAAACAAAATAGCAGCACCTTATGAAGACGATATATATTGTAATAGAACGGATCTTTCTTCGCGAAGTGCCTCAAATCACATAAGCACCTTGATTAAAACATGAAAAGTTTTGGAAAATATCAGTTGACGGTACACGTGCATTGTAAATCCTGCAAGCAACCAAAATCTGCAAGGCAGTTTACGAACCGGATGTCGATATCGTTACGCGTTTTTGATTGGTCTTTGCATAGACTCGTTAGTCCAGCCAAAATAAAACTCCATATTTCCAGCCTCGATCGGCAAGGGTGGAAACTGGACCTTTATAGTCAGTTAACTTCCTTGTTAACATCTGACAACGTGTAACTCTGTTGTGTATGGGATCAAGTTCTTCATGTTACATCCTCAACTGCAGTAGTTCCAATAGGACAACGCACGTCCTCATAAAGCAAGGGTGTCGATAGTGTATTCTTCCTTGGCCGGCCTTTTGGACGACGCAACTACGTTCAGCTCTTAAACTGACCTTTCACTATATGAATTTGTCTTTTGTTCAAAAACTTGAAAAAAGTGTCAGACTTGCGTTTCTTTTGCTCTTCATATAGAAATGTTCTCTTCATTTGTGGAACATTTAAAACTGGGTAATTATCTTGATGTAATATATTTTATTACTAATTTTACAGGCAATCAAAAAAGTCCTCCAGAAGCAACTACAGTGTCTTTATCGAGAAAGGGACGATCTACTGGGGATGCAATAGACGGCTTCATGTTGCCCATGAACTCATACCTGACAGATACTAAAGACATGATGATGACTTATGACTCAATCGTCTATTGATGGCATGATCTACTGAGTATGATACACAATCGGTCGTGTATGTATAGTATTAACAGTGACATTGAGAAATTCCTTACTATTAACTTTGAGTGATGTTTGGCTTTGGTTTTTGAATAGATAATATGTTTTTGTTTGTAGTTTGGATGGTGAGGTGTTGAGTGGATGGTTGCGTGGATTTATATCATTTACAGCTACAAGACCAGAAGCCGGGTGGATTTTTTTTTTAAGAAAAACACATTGGAACATTCTTAATTCCGTGGCAGGCAAATTCTTTTTTTGCTCATTTTGAAGCATAATTTTATTTCTCAAGAATATTCGGGAACACACACGCATGCACACACGCACGCACGCACACACACGTACACAGACACATACACTCACGCACATGCACTCACACTCACACACGCATACACACACGCACACACACACTCACACATTCACTCACTCTCATACACTCACACATACTCGCTCTCTCTCTCACACACACACACTCGCTCTCTCTCTCTCTCACTCACACGGGGCGGTCGGGTAGCCTAGTGGTTAAAGCGTCACGCCGAAGACCCGGGTTCGATTCCCGACATGGGTACAATGTGTGAAGCCCATTTCTGGTGTCCCCCGCCGTGATATTGCTGGAATATTGCAAAAAGCGGCGTAAAACAATACTCACTCACTCACTCTCACTCACACACACACACACACACACACACACACACACACACACACACACACACACACACACACACACACACACACACACACACACACACACCAGGATATCAATGTTCGGTCCAATATGGTTGGGTTCTTTTGCTGTAACTATAGCATGACTCGTTTTGTGGGAATAGTTCTTTTAGTACTCTCTTTTTTTATGACTAAATTAATATGCTTGTGCAAAGTTAACAAATAACAAGATGTATATTGCTACATGTTGATCTTGTGAATAATGTTGTTTTTTCCAGTTGTCGTATGTTATATACTCAACGCCAAACGCAACGCGATCCTTCGAAACATACACAGAGAAGAGATGTTTCTTTATTCTTAAGCTGCACGTGATTTCCAAACATTACACGCTAATCCTGCACGAGACAAATGGTGCATCTCGAGTCATGGATCTATGACGTCACATGTAATGAGTTCAGGAGCATCGGTTCACACAACATACCAGAACGTTCGTTTGTGCATCAAACCAATCTAATATCTCTTGAATATGAGTAAGTCTTCATACATTAACCAACATATATGGTATTCGCGTTTCTTTTGGCGGTGAGAATATATACTTAAAACAAAATGTATTCAGCGATAGAGGTTTCTTAGACTTGATAACTGTAATTGTAAACCGCCTGTGCTGTATTTGTTTAGCTCACCTGGACTGAAGGTTCAAGTGAGTTAATGTCGTGTTGCCTTGTTCTTTGTGCGTGACTCCTTCATACATGTTAACATTTCCTCGTCAAGTCCTCTAAGACCAGAAGTCTAAAGATGCTGAAAATTGACATTGGTGGTAACAGCTAAAGTCTATCGAACTAATTCAGATCTTATAATACACATGGCCGCCAGGTCCACCATAATGAATGTTTGAACATATAATTATGATTTATAATTAGTTAATGTGCTATTCAGTAAATATGTGGTATGAGGAATATAATGTTATACACTATGTTGATATTTCAACCCTGCTATAGTCTATTATTATTAAATATCTATGCTATGGAAACTTCTTAACCCATTTACTATGACTTCTTTAATATAATGAGCTGCAATGCTTTGTGACTGTTGTATTTAATTAGCTACATGTTTTTTTTATGAATGAAATATATTTGAATTGGTGCTCTTATGAAGTTCAATGTTTCTTAGATTACTAATCCCGTTTTATGTATATACTAATAAAATAACATGTTTATATCACTGAGTAGGGGCACGGGAGGTCCAGTCGTCTAAGGCGCAGCGATTCGCTGTGCAGAGTTGCGTCCCTTGGGCACGCCAGAAACCTATGATTGTGGATTCGAATCCCGGTTCGCCTCGATTATGTTTCCAGGTTTGTCAGCACCATACCCGTGCTCGTGGGTTTCATCGAAGTAGTAAACGTCTGAGACCTACATCACTTCGGGCTTTACTCCCACATTAAGCTGACACGCCATGATATAACTGGAATAATGTTAAAAGCGGCGTTAAACCCAACTCAGTCACCCACTATATCCCCGAGTGACTTTGAAATTGATATTTTCATAAATGTCGCATCCAAGAGTGAAAATATCAACATTTTCAGGTCACCAGGAGAGATAACATATTTTTACAAGAAAAGCCAAATGTTCTGTTTATTATGTATTTTTACTTTGATCTTATTCTGAAAACCATAATGTTTACAGGCAGTAAATATCGCTTATTTATTTAAAGATAAATATTGTCTTCCATTACCAGATACATTTTTTATCAGCTTATTTTAACTTATTTTAGAAACAGTTTTATCTTTGTAAATATGTATGTTTTATGTCTGTCTGTAATCTAATGTGGAGCACATGGAAATTTTTAATATATCCCCGTTGATTACATTCAGTCAAAATGAGTACACAAAAGATACGTGTGAAATAGGAAGCTGGAAAGTGGCTAGATTGTGAGGATCATATTCTCTAAAGTGCTAAACATAATTGGTATATACGGAAATAGTCTAGAACGTCTGTTGTTTCAATTCAATGTGATGTGCGGAATAACATGTAATACAATATATTGATTGTTCAACTCTGCTATAGCTTCTAATTATTAAATATCCGGGTTGTTTTCTTGTTTTAATTCAAGCTATCAGGAAATCGAAGATATTCTGTTCGTTCACCTTTTATGACCGCTTCGGGGTAAGCGTTCAAGTTACAAACTTACTCCTTGTCGATTTATATTCTTTTTCTGTGTTGATCTTATTCAACAGTGTGCCAATCACAACCTTTCTTTCATAGCTCCGTTTTCACTGTGTCCATCCCAACGATTAGTGTATATCATCACTGTTGCAACTAACCTAATTATACGGCGAGGCATAGAAATGCGTAGCTATACAAACACAGCTACACACAAGCTCCACACACAGAGACAGAGAGATGTACACACACACACACACACACACACCACACGTGTACACGCACACACACACTGATGTACATACACAGAGATATACACATACACAGATGTACACACACATAGATGTATACATACATACATACACACAGAGATGTACACACATCCACGCACAGATGTGCACATACACACACACAGATGTACACACATACTCGGGAGGTATACATACACACATATGTACACATACACACACACACACAGATGTACACATACACACACAGATGTACACACATACACACAGATGTACACATACACACACACAGATGTACACACATACACGCACAGATCTACACACATACACGCACATATGTACACACATACACGCACAGATGTACATACATACACACACATAGACGTACACACATACACACACAGATGTACACCCATACACTCACAGATGTACACACATACACGCACAGATGTACATACATACACACACAGATGTACACACATACACACACAGATGTGAACACATACACGCACAGATGTACACACATACACGCACAGATCTACACACATCCACGCACAGATGTACACACATACACGCACAGATGTACATATACATACACACACAGAAGTACACACATACACATACAGATCTACACACATACACGCACAGATGTACACACATACACGCACAGATGTACATACATACACACACAGATGTACACACATACACACACAGATGTACACACATACACTCACAGATGTACACACATACACTCACAGATGTACATACATACACACACAGATGTACACACATACACACACAGATCTACACACATACACGCACAGATGTACACACATACACGCACAGATCTACACACATCCACGCACAGATGTAAACACATACACGCACAGATGTACACATACATACACACACAGATGTACACACATACACACACAGATCTACACACATACACGCACAGATGTACACACATACACACACAGATGTACATACATACACCCACAGATCTACACACCTACACACACAGATGTACACACATACATGCACAGATGTACACACATACACACACAGATGTAAACACATACACACACAGATCTACACACATACACGCACAGATGTACACACATACTCGGGAGGTATACATACACACATATGTACACATACACACACACACACAGATGTACACATACACACACAGATGTACACACATACACACAGATGTACACATACACACACACAGATGTACACACATACACGCACAGATCTACACACATACACGCACATATGTACACACATACACGCACAGATGTACATACATACACACACATAGACGTACACACATACACACACAGATGTACACCCATACACTCACAGATGTACACACATACACGCACAGATGTACATACATACACACACAGATGTACACACATACACACACAGATGTGAACACATACACGCACAGATGTACACACATACACGCACAGATCTACACACATCCACGCACAGATGTACACACATACACGCACAGATGTACATATACATACACACACAGAAGTACACACATACACATAGAGATCTACACACATACACGCACAGATGTACACACATACACGCACAGATGTACATACATACACACACAGATGTACACACATACACACACAGATGTACACGCATACACTCACAGATGTACACACATACACTCACAGATGTACATACATACACACACAGATGTACAAACATACACACACAGATCTACACACATACACGCACAGATGTACACACATACACGCACAGATCTACACACATCCACGCACAGATGTAAACACATACACGCACAGATGTACACATACATACACACACAGATGTACACACATACACACACAGATCTACACACATACACGCACAGATGTACACACATACACACACAGATGTACATACATACACACACAGATCTACACACCTACACACACAGATGTACACACATACATGCACAGATGTACACACATACACACACAGATGTAAACACATACACACACAGATCTACACACATACACGCACAGATGTACACACATACATGCACAGATGTACATACATACACACACAGATGTAAACACATCCACGCACAAATGTACACACACACACACACACACAGATGTACACACATACACACACAGATCTACACACATACACACACAGTTGTACACACATCCACGCACAGATGTACACACCTATACACACAGATGTACACACATACACGCACAGATGTACACACATACACGCACAGATGTACACACATACACGCACAGATGTACATACATACACGCACAGATGTACACACACAGATGAACACATACATAACC